CGGCACCCACATGTGAGCTGGGAGCTGTCTGGGACATGGGGCAGAGCCAGCGCTGGTCTCACCACCCGGATGAGGTACTGTTACTCTGGGGTTTGCTGCTGCAAAGTGACGTGTGTGTGTTTCAGAGGGAGATTGCAGACTCCTATGCACAGAATGCGAAAGTGATTGAGAAACAGCTGGAACGCAAAGGCATGAGCAAGAAAAGGCTACAGGAGTTGGTGAGTGTTTTCTTTGGTGTTCAGCACAAGTCCCTGTACACAAAAACTGTTTTGCAGATTAGACTGCAAGTATAGAGAGGTCCTGGTACAATCACAGGCAACTTGTAGCTTTGTGAGGATGAGTTTTCCTTTACAGGTTTTATAGAAATATTCTTCTAGTTCTTCTAGAATTAAGATAGTACTTGATTACCTGTAGAGCTAACAAGAGCAGCCAGCAGAGTGCTTGCAGGGAGGCTTTCTGTGACCTGCTGGACAAGGATCAAGGGAAGGGGAAATAAGGCCATGGCTTTGCCAACCAGAACGCCCCTAATACTGTGCTCTTGTGCCTGCCTGGCAGAGCAGGTCATTGCCATGAGGTGTCAGAGCAACCCAAGGCTCTTGTGGAGAACCTGCAGCTCAGCCCCTAGTGAGAAGCACTTGAAGAATGGCAGGAACATCACAGCTGATCTTACCTGCTGTGACAGCAGAGTAGTCGATGGGAGGGGGAGGAAATGTGCAGCTTCCACTTGGGGATAGAAAGTATGATACTGTCTCATGGGCAGTCAGTTTTAGGATTCTTATGATTTTAAGGGTGGTCCTTGTTTTGTGCGTTAGGGGAGGGGGGAGTCAGCAAAGCACTTGGGCTACTCCTGCTCCTCAGTTGGGAACTGGAAAGTTTGCAGTGGTCAGACAAGAAGAGCAAACTTCATTGGAGCACTGAAGGGAAATGTATCCAGGCATTATTTCATTCTGTCTTAATTTTCATTTATTCAGGCTGAGTTGGAAGCCAAGAAAGCCAAGATGAAGGGAACCTTGATTGATAACCAGTTCAAATGAAATGCTAATTATCTGCTGGATACTAGGAGACAGGAGAAGGTTACCAGGAGCTATCACAGATCTGTTAACACAGCAGAAGTAACAGACAGCATTCAAGGGTTGCACTGTGCTGAGACAACCTGGAGGGTGAGAACCTCTCTGTCATAAATGATACTCTGGTACCAATTTTAATAACTCCAGCAGCACCGGAGACTTTGCTGAAACTGCAGTTCTCTACAGACCCAGTGTTATGAGCAGGCTGTTCCAGGCAGAATATTTACTTTCAGGAAAACGTTTGCTGGGTGCCTTCATGAGTTCACCTTTAGATAACTGTTTTTTTTTTTTTATTTTGGTAGTGTAAGATTTCCTTGAATGTATTAGAACAACAGGTCAACTGTAAAAAACATCCTTACAAAAGTATGCTCTGTGCCTGTTACTTATTTTGTTATTTTAACTGTGTCCAAAACATGCAGCAGCCTGAGGGACATGCCATTCCAACAGTCTGGAACAACTGGGATGCAAGGCTTGGGCATCATTCTGCTGCTCACCCTCACCAGAGGCAGCCAGCACAGGCTTGGCTGCTGCACTCCAGCCTCAGCTCCTGTGGTACAGTGGAAAGCTGCAGTTGTAGAGAATTGCACTGTCCCAATAGCTACTGCCCCATACAAGAACATGAAATCCAAGCCTGTTTTAAATTAAATGAAAACAAAAACTGCCACTAATGAGTTCAAATATACAGTTGGAAGCTACTGATACGGGTGGTGATCATTTGAATTAGAATACCACTGCATGTCTGAACTAACCCCTTCTACAAAACAGCATCAGTATCTGGAGTTGTGAAATGTGGAAGAAAAATTGTTTTGAATGTTCTGACCACTAAGGACTTGGATAAAGACAACATTACACATCAGTTTTTAAAGTACCTTATTTGGGGAATAATATTTTATATCTCTTGTTGATGTAATAGCAGTGCTCTATAGCCCGTGTCTTTGTTGCTCTACTTGAGATTAAATGCCATGTTACGGATTTGAACTAAAATACCTTTCCTAGGGTGTTCTTACTCTAACAAGTATCATAAAATAACATGAGCAAAGATGCTTCATGTCCCATAATTATTACGGAAAACTTCCTATAATCAATAAAGATTTTCCATCTGGCTTTATTACCTTGCTTGGGAAAACTCAGCTCTGCTTCGCCTTAGGATCTGTTTTCCTTCCTTTGGAAAAACAAGGTGTAAAGGAGGGAGTGAACTCTGCCCCAGAGTTGGCAGGCTGGGATGTGTCCATACATCCTGTGACAATTTAATGCCAGGCTGGGTAAGCAGGTGTTCAGGTTAACTCACAGTGCTGATCTTGTTCCGTGCTTATCACCTGTTAATCTGAAGCCTATTTCCAGAAGCTCTTCAGTTAAGCAATTACAGGGAGGTGTGCCATACTTGGGAAGGGCAGGAGGTGTTTGTGGGTACATCTCTGGTACACAAATCCCTTTCCCCAGTGTGGTAACACAGTCCAGCCAGGCGAGGGCCTCACGGCTCCTCTGGAAGCAATCCAAGCCCCAAGTCGGTCTATATAAAAATTAGGAAGTTTTTTCCAAGCACATGTCGAAGACTGACATCTGAAAATAGGGTTTGAACCACATAAGATCTGCTGGGATGTAGGCTCTGAGTCTCCAATTGTCCAAGGATGAAGTGCGGTCCTGCTTCAAGTGACACCAGCCCACAAGCTGACTTGGGGATAGCATGATTTACAGTCAGGGTTGAGGCTGGGAGTGACAAAAGCCTTCAGCTGAGGGTGGGCTGTCAAGGGGCTGCCAGGTGGGTTAGGAGCATCTTTGCAGTTTGGTGAGGCACAAAGAAAATACGGTAAGTGCCTCACTCAGCACAAGTTGTCCAAAGTAGCTGTTACCAAGTGCCACCAACTTCCTCAGCTGTGTACCCAGAGCCTTGAGGCACTTCTTGATTTTGGAAGGGCAGCCCATACTCAGTCAGTGCTTGTCATTCTTGTCACTGGAGATCTGCCTAGTTTGGCTCAGAACTCGTGCATGGATCCAGTCAGAAAGGGTAGTACATAATTGTTGCACCAGCAGTCTCTGAGGTGCTTTTGATACACTCTAGTTACACACTCAATGCCTGAAACAACTCCAACACAGAGGATCTGACCCAATACATTATTATGTATATTTCTTACTCTAACTAGATCTAATTCACAACAGTTTAAATCAAGTTGGGTTTTTAATTTTTAGATGTAAACGAATTAAAAAATATTAGCTGACTATAGCAACAGGAAGCAGGGGCACCTAGTTCAAACACTTGATTAAATGTCCTATACTAGATAAAACCAGCCGTTCTACAGCTGTTTTTTCATACCCTGGTAGAAAATGGGCAATCTCCAGCAGAGTTCAGGCCAAAGCAAATTCAGATTTTGCATTACTGTAAAAGTCAACATAATAATATAAACCTGTTTAACTGAGCACCATATTGTACATAAGAACCTGTCCAGATGCAGAGGTATCACAAAGCAAAATAGTGTGTGAAATAAAAGTGGAGGAGGGGATCTCTTCCAAAAGTAATTGCACACATGGCCAGACTTACCTTCCTGTGTTTCATGGCTTAGTCCAGACCAATAACCAGGCACCTTCACAAGACCCTGGTCTGATTTACCATGTCAGAAAAGCTCTGGGTGCAAAAATGCTGCCTTGTTCCCCGTTACCAGTACAACACCCCCATCCCCCCCCCCCAATTTGTAAACACTGAAGAGAAGTGGTAATGCTGAATCCGACCTTGTCGGTGTTAACTGCAGCTGTACCTGGGGCGTCCTCTCTGCCTGCCTCCTGAGGGGAAATGTTTCTGGTCAGTTCTTACAGCTCTCATTGGGCTGTGCTCTCTGATTGTGCTATTTCACCTGCCAACTGGCATACAGATGGCTAATTCTGACTTCATAGACTATGGCAATGAATATTGATAACTGCACACTAACAATGTGTATGACAAAGTGATCAGCTTGGGAGCAGCACTGACTGGTCAGCCTGAATCAAACTGGACTCAGCTTTAGCTGGTGTTCTCCTAAAGAACCCCACAGTCCATGGGGCACTGCTACATCCAGGCATTTGAAAGTATAAAATGATGGGCCTGTTTAAAAGGCTGCAGGGCTGGGATCCAAGGGATGGAGGAGGAAGCATTGTAGCTCTCTCCACTGAGTTCTTATGAACCTAGCTGGCCACAGTGTGCTGGTATTTTGGGTGGATTTCAAGGCACAAGTGGCCAATCTCCTTGTCAGCTAGAAAATTGCTGCCCTATCCCTGCAGCTAGTGCTGTAACTCCTGTCAATCCCAGCAGGATCAGACAGCAAACCACTGGTGGGATGACACCTCCCAGACCCTCCCTGATGCTGCCGGTCTTGGTCTGGGTCTGGGCAGCTCCTGAGTGCTCAGTGTTCCCCAAACTGCTACCTCTCCAGCAGCTCATATGACTCCCAGAGACACAGCCTGGAGTGACCCAAGGACTGCTGAAGGGGACAGTGGAGTGGATGAGCTGGCACTCTGCTGCTCTTTTACAAGTCGAGTCCTTGGGGTGGGATGCTCTCCACTGCACGACTCAGCACACATCAGGCATCACAGCCAGGGCAGACTGGCGCACACTGAGCCATCCAAACTATCCAGCACTGTTCGCCACCTGCCCCAGCCACTGACAAGTGTTTCATACGATCCCATGCACAGCCATGCTGTGTCAACACCTCCTTAGCCTGGGATTTACAGCTGCTGGGCGAGGGGCCGAGACAAAAGTGGTGTTAGAGGCGTTTGCCCACCTGTCCCCGCCAGCAAAGGGGCTGATACACCAGGACATGGCTCCTATGGAGGAAATATGACATATGAGATGTTAGGCCCTCCCACAGGAGAATCACAGTTCAAAGGAAAATCCATTCTGTCCGTGCTGTCCTTGGGGCAGCCCATCCTGGTGGCCAAAATGCTGTGTTGGAGGGGCTGCAGTCAGTTTGTTGCCTTGCCACTGGATGGCTCCAGTCCCTTTCCTGTGCCTCAGTTTCCCCACAAGAAGAAAGCCCTTAATCCCTGTGTGGTGTGCTCCTGTGGCAGGCTACAGTAGTGGCTGAAACCCCCGACCTGCTTCCCCAGATAAAGCTGCTCCCAGGGAACTGCCAGGAGGGGGAAGTTAAAGCCCCAGGGGCCCAGTGCCAGAAGGGCTGCCAGCCTGGGCTCCCTGGCAGCAGAGTGTACGTAAAACCCACTGTGGGCTCTGCCCTGCATCTCCCACATGCCAGAGCTAAAAAAAAACTGTGAAGCACAGGCTTGTTTCCCAAGTGCCCAACACAGTAACTGGTGTGGGAAGTTACAACCCATTTCAGTGCCAGTCCTGCACCCCAAGCCCAGTGCACAATGCTGTGGGATCACCTGGCTCAGCAGCTTTGCTGCCTGGCACAACAGCCCAGCTCAGCACCTTGGTCACCCCCACCGTGTGCAGGAAGAAATTATGCACTTACCTCCTTGTGCTAACAGCCCAGCCACACATCCTCTGAAGAGGAAAGGACAGAAGGGATGCCCCATGCTCAGCAACCAGCAGCGTAAGAACAGCCTTTGAAATCCAGGAGAGCTTAGCAGCAGGAGGCAATAACGGCCAAGAGCCCTTAATTAATCAGCTGCACTTGTGCAGCAGGAGAGGGCTCCCTGGTAAAGCTGCCCCATGGCAGAGCCCCCTGCCAGGCTGCTGCCTGCACCCCCAGCACGGCCCACCGCTCGTGGAATTGCTCCACACCTCACACGGCAACTTTCAGCCTGTTTTGTTTCTCCAACAGACAGTGGGGGATCTCACACCACAGCAGCCCAGGTCAGCCAGGACTGTTGGCTCAACACCATCTCCCTTCAGGCATGCACGTGCCCATTTATAGGCACGCTGGCCAGCCAACACCTGCAGCAGGACGGTGCTCTGTTCTCATGCCTGGCTGCCCTTAGGTTTCAGCAAGAAATCACTCTAACCCTTTGCAATACAAGGTCTTGCTTAGCTGCCTTGGGCAGCAGTTAAGATTAGTTTCAGTGATCGAGATCAACCGCTTTGAGCAGGCCTGGGCAGCCAGAAAGGAGCCAAGGCATAGGGGAAGCAAGGAGACTCACTGATCTGAAGGGCAGGAGACCAGGAGAGCATCCCCTCACCACTCCACATCCCCTGGCAGAAACCAGGCAGTTTCACTGGGGTGGCTCACAGACCCACAGAGATATCTGTGTAAAGGCCAAGCCACCCACACTGCTCAATCTTGCAGTGTTTTCCACAAACGACCCTGGCAGCATGAAGGAATTCTCCCCTTTCTCTGGAATTTGGAAGCTTAACTTCCAGGGTAAGGGATGAGCCTGGGGATGCAGCTCCCTGCCTGGCACGCGGAGCTGGCACGCAGAGCTGGCACAGAAGCTGTCTCTGTTCAGCTGTTCCATGCCCATAGCACACCACCTCCTGTGAGGGCGAGGCTAGCCAGGGGCTCTACAGAACAGCAGCAATTACCTGCACTTGTGCTCTCTGATGGGTTTTCACATGTCCAAGTAGGCAGCTCTGTTTCTAAGTCAAAGAACATGAGACCAGCTCTGTTCCTCCAGACAGCGTTTCTCCAGCCTCTCAGGCATTAAGTGCCATGGGGAGTGTTGTGCTTTGCAGGTGGTTTAGGCTCCTTTCAAAACCAGGTTTCAGCAGCTTCAGGAGTAGACAGGACAGAGGCAGGACTGTGGCACACAGTTAGTGCATTGTCTCTGGTTCCGGGGGTCTCAGGGAGAAGAGCTGGGTGGGTCCTTCAGAGCTGCCAGTCCCCATGTCAGCCACACCACTGGCCTCCCTCTAGGGAGGGAGCTTTCTCGGCAGCCTGCACTGTGTTTACCTGCTGTACTTAGCAGGTAGCAAGGCTTGCAGGATGCAGATGGTTCACCCTCCTCCTTCTCTACAATCTCCGAGACCCCCACCCCCCTCGTGCTGCAGCTGCTGCAAGAACAAACATGAGATGAGGAAAATTGGTTTTGGATTTTTATTCCTTTGTACTCTTTAAGCAGGAGTGACTGAAATAGAAACCATCATGAGTCCCATCAAGGGGAATAAAGGCAGGGCAGGCCGTCGCCCCTGCCCTGTGCCAACTTGTATAAACATCAGCCGTCGCTGTTTAGTAACTAGATGGTTTTCAAACAAGTCCATGAACGGTCATAGACTACACAGAACAACATGCCAGTTCACAACAGGAAACAACTTATGTGTACTTCTTGATTTCATCATACAAGACTAAGACAAAAGCACCACCCATTCCTCGGAGTACATTCGACCATGCACCTTTGAAAAACGCCTTGGAGCCCTCATCCCGGGCAATCTTCCGCCAGCAGTCAAGAGTGCCAGTGTACATTATGTCAGCTGCAGAAGACAGACAGCTTTAGCAACTGGATGCCCAAGACCCCCAACATCCAGGTCAGAAATGGCCTGATGTATCTGACAGCTTCATAACCTCAAGTGCATCCCCCCATTTCTTGACTGACTTTTTCCAGTATTAGTGCACTGGAGGATAAGACTGCCCAGGAGATCCAGGAGATACACTGCTGCTGCCTCACTCTTTGGAGACACTGGAAGGACTGGTTTGAGCAGAAGGCAGCAACTGTTTGCTTTGACACCAACACTTCCAGACCCAAAAGCTATTGCACAGTTAGCCAGGCTGTGCCTGCTACGAGGGTTGTCTGTTCTTGCCCCAGAGACACTAGTTTGCAACATCCTTGGGCAAGTTCTGCTGTTCCTCCCTACTGACAGACATAGGGACTTGTGCAAGCCCCTTTACAGGTGTGCTGTGCAGGCCAACCCACCCATGCCCCTGCCTGTCACCTGCTTCTGCAGCCCCTCCCACACCCTGCTTACAGGAGGTGAGGATATCTACACGAGCTGGTGAAAGCTAAGCCACTCTGCCCTCACCTCAGCTCCAACACCAACTGTTGATTCAGGGATGCCCTATATCTCCTATAAAATGAAGTGGAAACTTACCTCCTTTACGGCCAGACTGCATCATCATGCGACGGCGAACCGTGTCAAAGGGGTAGGAGACCAAACCAGCGACAGCGGTGACGGTCTGAGCAATCATCCAGCTGACAACGATGTGGGTATTCTTTGGGTCTGGGAGCATGCCTGCGGGAGAGAGGCTTTGATGAGCACGGCAGGTGAGCCACCAGCGCTGCTGAAATGCACTGCAGGCCTACTGCAGAACAGCGTCTCCCTTTCAGTGCCATTTTGGTCAACCTACCCTTGGCGGTGTCGTAGATGCCAAAGTAGGCAGCTCTGTAGATGATGATGCCCTGGACAGAGACACTGAAGCCCTGGTACAGGCCCTTGAGGCCATCCGAGCGGAAGATTTTGACCAGGCAGTCACCGAGCCCGCTGAACTCTCGGTCGGCCCCGGCTTTACCCACGTCCGCTGCCAGGCGGGTTCGGGCAAAGTCAAGGGGGTACACGAAGCAGAGGGAGGTCGCGCCGGCAGCACCGCCGGACGCCAGGTTACCGGCGAAGTACCGCCAGAACTGGGTCCGCTTGTCCACGCCGCCCAGGAAGATCTGCTTGTACTTATCCTTGAATGCGAAGTTGAGGGCCTGGGTGGGGAAGTACCGGATCACATTGGCCAGGTTGCCGCGCCAGAAGGAGAGGACGCCCTGCTCCCGCGGGATGCGCACCACGCAGTCGATGATGCCCTTGTAGTGCTTGTCGGCCGAGATCTGCTTGCTGGCGTGTTGCACCTGCGGGGAGCCCACACGCCGCCGTCAGCGCCGCCACCCCGCGACCCCCCGGGCCCGCCGCCGCCCCCCCCCATCTCCTTGCGGCGACCTTGCGGCGGCCCCCAACGCTCACCTGCAGCAGCAGCTTCACCCTCTCGATGGGCGCGACGGCGGTCTTGGAGATGGCGGCCGCCACCCCGCCGGCGAGGAAATCCTTGGCGAAGGACACGGCCGCATCGGTCATGGCGGGAGCGGCGGGAGCAGCAGGCGATGCCGGGCGAGGGAGGCCGAAGGCGGCGCTGAGGAGGGAGGGGGCGCCGCAATGGCCGCTTATATAGGGGCGGGGGCGCGCGCGTGGGCGGGGCGCGCGCTGCGCTCGCCCGTTGGCTGCGGGAGGGGGCGGGGCCGCCGCAACGGGCGGGGGGAGCGGGATGGGGGAGGATCGGGGAGACCGGGATGGGGGAGGATCGGGGAGACCGGGATGGAGGGGACCGGGATGGGGCACTCTGCGTTGCAAAAGAGCGGGATGGGGGACCGTACCGGCACCGCGGGCGGACAGGGTTATAGTTATATCTATATACGGCCCCCACTTCTCCCCCAGCTCATCCCCATCCCGGGCACCCTATGTAAGGCTTCGAGGCTCCCTAATTTACGGACACGCACAGGCCCACATCTGACCGCTCCCTGAACCTCAGCCGAGACACTCGCTCAGAGACCTCTCAGGATACCGCCCCCCCTGCACACATGATGCTGCGGGAGTCACCGAGCTCCAAGAACTATATGGAATCCCTCCAAGTATTGCACGGATTCCCTCCGTCAGTCACTGCTGAGCTCAGCTGGGGTGCCCAGACACACCCCCCACCAGGTACCACCCACCATCCCCATCGCACAGCGGCATCCAAATGGCACTCGAGTGACGCTTCACCTACCCAAGAGTTCAGCCTTGCTATTCAGTGGTTGCTCGTGATCACACACCATTTCACATGTTAGTGATCCACTGCTGAAGCACTTTCTTTTGGAGCTGTCTCAAATATTAGTGCTGCCTTTTGGGGTGTTCATCATGCACAGATGTGATTACAAAGGAGAGGCTTGGTTGATAAAAGGTTAGTAAGTGATTTATAGGTCGTAGGAGTGCATTACAATAGAAAGGTGGTATTAGCACATCAGAAACAAGTTAGAGGTACCTTTTTGACTCACTTGACTCTTATGAGGTTTGAAGAGCTGATCAGATATTCATATGCACCCATCGTTCAATCTTTAAATCTATTCAGAAATACAGTATCAGTAAAAACATACAGGTATGTTGGGACAAGGTAAGAAATCCATTCCTTCCCAACACACTTATAAGTCACATCTTATTCATACATCTCCAATAGGTCCCAGCATTATTACCTGCACTGTGCTGATAGGGAAACTGAGGCACAGAGAAACATGTTCACTAGGCAGGTTGATTAGAGCCAAAGCACTTACAGCCTCAGTGTGATGCACAAGCCACCAGATCTCCTCTCTACCATCCTAATTTTTCCTATCAATGCTTGTGTTTCTTCTCCAAGAAGAAAACCAGGATGAAGCACCACTGCAGCACAATGGAGCAAGTCCACTAAGAGATACGGCAAGACCTCAGCTGTAGGATACATCAGCAATGAGTGTTAGGTGCAGGGTAGGCCCTACAGTTATCCCAAATCTTTTTGCAAGTTTCTCTCCACGGTCACAGACTATTCATGTATCGATCTGCCAGTGCTTTATCCCACTGTGACCTGTCCTAACCAAGCAGTTTCTGAGATTTACTTATTTCCACCCATCAGGCATTATAAACAGTGCAAAAATGCACACAGGGAGCTGTGCAGAGCAGCAGCAAACCCTGTACTGAACCCAGGCTGCTGCAGCTCAGGCTGGAGCAGAGCTGGTGTGGGCACCCTTTCCCAAGATGCCGTGATTCCCACCCTGCCACAGCCTGAGCCTCTGAGACACGCTGCAGGGGGCACAGCCACCTTCCCACGGGGACACAGGGTTTGGGTTTTCTATCAGAAGACACTGGGATGGGGCTGTTCCATAGCTGAACTTCTACAAAGGAAATGGAGCAATATCACAGGTCCTCAGGTATAACACCAAGATGATCTTTTATTGTCCAAGGTTGGTCAGAGGCCCATCAGCTGCACTGGCACTGGCAGTAACCTTGTGGTCCGGCAGAAAGGTTCCTACATACAGGATCTGTCTGCAGCTCCTGGATCACAGCAGTTAAAGTGGAGCAATCTCAGGTGGTGTGCATGGTGCTATTCTGCTGGTACGTTCCAGGCAGCACAGCAGGCCTAGGTCTGTGCAACAGAACTAAAAGGTGATCTAATATAAAAATAGAGCTTTAAGAATACCGAAACAACACGACAAGGCTCGTGGCTCTGAAATACCTAACACACCTAAGAACTGCATTTTTCAGGAAATATTTCAGTTAGAGAACTTCAGGAAAACTATTTTTCAAACTGAAATAATTCACATAGGTGCAGTAACAACACACGAGAAAGGGAAGAAGATCTCCTAGTATGCACTTAAGTTTGCAAGATTGTCGTTCCAGTATATTGCAGTCCATTTTGCACATTACAGTTCTCCCTTAGCAAAAGCACAGTTGTAGCAGCATATTTTCATCTTTGTTCTGGAGTTTCACACACAATTATTATTCTTGAGTAAGTCTCAGAAACTGAGGCGTGGATTTGGGAGTGTAACTGAACTGAGACTAATTCTGGCTTGGCAGAATGCCATGTCCACATAGCATCACTAAAAAACCTGGAGACTTCAGCAGAAATTCTTGCATGTTGCATGGATTCTAGTCTGTTTTATCATTTTTGGCTGACTTGGCATCTCAGATTGCTTAAGAAAAACCATTTGAATTTTTTCTTAATGGCTTTGAAGATACAATTTATAATCTCATCTCTGTTCTCTTGCCTTTCTGCAAGTGCTTTAATCTCAAGTGGCTACTCGGCATTAAAAAACACCTAAAATAATGCCATTTCAAGTTCCACGAGTAAAGAGTTTTCAAAGGGGTTGCAAGTCTCCTCTTCAGTATGCGGCTGCTATTTATATTGTTTATATCCAGTCAGCAAATGAAATACAAGGTTTATTCTTTCCTGTCACAGGTGTCTCAGTACTAAAATCATGCAATCCGCCGAAAAGCCGGTACCTGCAGCTCAGTATGTCTTTCTTGCAAAGTTCCTTAAGAAAGGTAGTTTGTGTATCTGCAGTGGACACTCTGATGTCAGTTTTCAAGAGCCGATTTCCTTGGCTCAAAATTTTCCCTTCGGAGGCGCTTTAATTCTCTCAGTTCTTGTGGCCGTAAGCTCTGGTCCACGCCAGGAGTCAGCTTGTAATTTAAGGGAGATTCAATATAACCATTTCTGTACAGACAGACCCGCTTGCAGAATTCAAAGGTGCTAAACATAACACCAAAGTATGGGACAATCTGACAAAATAATAATGAAAAAGCAATGTTAGAGTCATTAGTAGCATTCGCAGCTTAGATGAAAAAGGAAACTTCTAGGACTTCAGATCTGATCTGCTAATAGATCTGTCCTCATTTATATACAATCAGAGTCTCACCTCAAACTAGGCTGGCACTTGCAGCATGCTAAAAGTAGGAGTTATTATTGGTACATAACTAATTATAATAATATTGTGAGGAACAAGGTCTATGCTAGACTATAGATTATTACAACTTGTCAAATACCTAAGCCCCTGAGCATATCCTGGTAGGAAATGTGGAATTTATTCTACACACAGCAGAGTGACTGCTCAATTTCCTTCTTTTTCCCATGCAGAACCAGCAGCTCTAGTGCCGTGTGGCTTTGCACCAGTCAAGGTAGGGCAGGCACAGGCAGCCCATCAGAATCAATCACACTGTCACTCAATTAGCACTCATTAGCTGACCTGTATTACGCCATGTAGGTAATCCTCATCACAGCACTATAAAACGTATTTATGTAAACTAAATTACATTCTGTTTAAGCTACTGTGCTTTATTTCATGCTTTCAACTCAGCAAGGGCTGTAGTAACCAATACACATGCATTAGATTGCTGGCTGGAAGTGCTGCTTTGGACTTCTGGGGAACTGGTTTATACAAGCACAATTTTCTTTACAGCTCAATACAACACGTCAAATTACTGGGGCTCAGCTGAGGAGGAGAACTCGTTTAGCTGTCCTAAGTGGATCACTTGCACTCCCCAATCCATTTCCTACCTTGTGTGTTAGCAGCACTCCCTCGGCTAAGAACATTCATATGAGCTTGAAAGTAGTAACACTTAGAAGCCAACTTACATTTGGAGAAATTCAATACAAACAAGTTCCAAGGCTGGTTTCTAACCTGTTCTGTCACAGATCAGTTGTTCGTAAGCTGCTACTAAGTACAGAGGAATGCCACAAACTTTATAACCCCAACTGCCCAAAACTATCTCGATTACTTTAGGATAGCATTGGATTGGGATGAAAGCAAAACCTCACCTTGAGCAGACTGGGTGTGAGTCCACTCCAAAGTCCAAGCACACCTTTGTGCTTCACAGTTTGCCGGAAACAGTCAGCCATGCCAGTAAAATGGACATCAACTCCTCCATAGTGGGGAAGCCACGGACTCTGGGCCTGCCAAGAGACACCCATGGGAATTTAGAGCAAGCAGAGGAAAACCAAAGTAATTAATTATTTTCTCTATTCTGGTACATAAGGAACACTCAATGCCAGGTTTCAGCAGACTGATCTGGATTCTTCCCAAAAGAATCAGCTATTTTGCATTGAAATACAAAATAAAAAGGGAGGCAATTCACTCTCTGATAGGTATGAAAGAGAACAGTAATTTCACACAGCACTTTCTTTTGTGCCATGTCACTACATGGAATAAATCCCACCCTTGTGAAGACAAACCATCCTAACCAGAGCCACATATCCCCTCAGATCCATGTCTGCCAGCTGCTCAGGTCTGGGTAGAGGTATTTCACATCCCTGGCAGTGGAGCACCTATGAGAGGGAAGCTTGGAGCTGGTTCCTGATGCCACACTGACTTGCTGTAACTCTGATGGAGCAGCTGACTTGAGTCTGGCTGCCTAGGCTGTGTCTGCACGGCACTGAGAAGGGTGAACTGTACAATGGGCTGAGCAGCAGCAGCAAGGCAAGGACAGAGATTTCAGCCCAGGCTGTACAAGCCCACCAAGGGCTGCAGGGCAGCAGCTGGTGCCCATGCTCAGTATCAACATGTTCGGTTCACACAGGCTGGTAAAAGTCAGCTTAGGAGCATCCTGCTGGGCTGCAGTTACATTTCCAGCTGCAGTACAGACTGTGTCTGTTCACATGGAAGAAGAGTAGTTGGTCATTTTTAACAGCTAAATCCTTTCTTCATTAATCTCCTACTGCGTTAGCACAGACAGGATAACCTGACCTTCAAAAATCCCCTCCTCATCCATCTGTGCACATGAAGCCATGGGTTTATTTTGCATTGTCCAATCAGGGTTTCACTCCAACACATGGCAAATGACACTTCTCAGTCAGGGGTGAGTGGGGACCCCGGGACACGGGTTGATGACTTGTATGTGCAAATTGATCATCGTAAGGCAGAAGTCTGATAGAAATGGGACTTGTACAGTTCACTTATTGATGGGTGTCATTATCCCCACATTGAGCTGAAACACCATATAGTGTAGCAAATTCTCCCTTCTTGGCCTGACCAACCTACAGCTTCTCAGGGCTGCTAAGCCTATGACAAGCCTTTCATAAATCTACAAGTGATGATGACATTTTCTAGATGCCTCAGCTATAGCATTTCAAGGACTTGGCAACTGAGATGCTGAAAAATGCAAACAGATCAAAACTCATGCTCTAGGTGTATAAGAGAAATTGCTAATCAAATCCACACATCATCATTTTCTCTCTTTCTCCTTTTTTTTTTTTTGTGTGCATGATTGATTGCATGTGAAATACTTCTTATGGCAAAAGAAACACCTCCTGCACAAAGACTTTCATGTCTGTACTGCAGAAGATGCTGAATGCTGCATCTGAGACTCCAGGAACCAGTTCCACTAAGAATGGTGGTATATCAGCACCAGCGATGCTTAGAAGAACACTCAAATTATGTAAGTATTCCTAAAAATGCAACAGCAGTCATAGGAGAGCTGGATTCAAAAGCCTGTTCTGCTTTCTGGAATGTCAGTCAAGTTCCACAAGATTTTCTGGTACAGAAAGTTACAGGAAGTGAAGAGGGACAAGTTTCTGAAAAGCTTCAGGAAGACAGGAATGCTGTTAATACGCAATTCCCTTCCTTTATCAGTCCCTTTGTGGTAGGCAGGGCATGGCCTGCCAAAATTAACTGCATGAGCTTGACTTAATCTCCTTCATTACTGTATACACTGCAGAGCCACACATCAAAGGTTTTGTTTACAGTACTTCTGCCTACAACACCAAAACCAGCAACAAGCACAGTGCTGGTTTCAGTAAGATCCTGCACAGAGTAAACACTGCCAGAAGACAGTTAAAGGAACAGGTAATAAGTCAACCCCCCAGATTTCCAATCTGCCCACAGACACTGACCTCTTAAGAGATTTGCTGAAAAATTATTTATAGCAACATTCACCAGAGACGGAGCCGTTTTCAAGATTTCAGTCTGTGGAGTGAAGTATGTGTTGCCAGTCTTTCTGCCTCACAGGAGCTGTATGTTTTTAGGACTCTAGTTATTGAAGTAACTATTTGTCCACAGAATCACCTACTGCAAAAGGAAACCTAAAAACTGTATCGGTGTATAGTTAAAACTTCAGTGTTTTGGAACACAGCTGAATAAAGTTAAAATGCATTCATAAAAGAGAAATATTTCCAAGGCATTTCATTTGGCACTGTTTTTAATGAAAACAATAACTGTGGGTTTTGGGTGGTTCTTCCTCATCTAAGCACGTCCACCAGACTGCAATCCTCACAACCACCCCATGGCAACAGAGCCAGAAATGGAAGGAACAAAACAGATCAAACTAGTTTCTCTACCTCTTTTGCAGGAACCTACTATGACATACAAATCAAATCAAAGCCAATCTCATACCAAAAAGTCAGGTTTATGACAGAGACATTTCACGCACCTCAAAGCAGCCTGAATTCCTTTCTTTTGATACCCCTTGATGCAATGGGCTGCTGCATGGAAACCTGCTTGTTATGAGCACTTTTAAAGACTTCCTTCCCCCGTTACAGCTGTCTCAAACTGCAGGAGGCTGGAGATACAACTCCCTGTGCTGAGAACAGAGTGCCAAGGTGTTAGTCATGGCAGGAGCAGAGCTAAGTTGCTTATCCCTTTACCTCTGATGGGCAGTGGGATGTCTAAATGATTAAAGCACATCAAATGCAGAGTTGGCTCCATCTGCTCTCTCACAAACACAGTATTTTCATAGCCAGAGGCCACCAAGTCTACCAAGTCACTGCAATACATCCTCAAAGCCAGCACTCTGCTCTACAGTGACAATCTAAACCCAAGAGAGACATACACAAAAAAAAAATCCCAACTACCTGCACTCACTTTTTTTTTTAATAAACAAAATATTTAAATTAGGATGAAATGTCCTAACAAAACTCAGGTTAATCGTTATAGTTAATTGTTACCTGAAGACTCTTCAGACATCGTCTCTCTCATTGTCCGCGTTACAAGGTGACTGCCAGAACAACATAATCCCATTTTGGGAACTAATCTCACAGACCCTTTCAGTGACTTCCCCCAGCCTCTCTCCTGTGCAAATAAAAGCTTTTCACTAGCCTTTTGGGACATTTTGGTTTGCAATTATTTCAATTTACATGTATCAGAGACTGTCTGAAAATACTTCCCTCTCAATTCATGTATTTCCCTCCCCTTCCCTCTTCATAAATTTTGTTGGTACAAATATTTACTATTTCTTTTTTTAGTAAGCAGTACTTGTTTGCACAGAGGATGAAATACCAAGTAACAGCGAATAGCTGCCATTACTAGTATGGTACCCTGATTGTAGATAGAATAAAATTGCTTGCTCCTTCTGTATTTTCAACAGATTCAGGTGTCCTACACTTCTGATCAATTAAAAAAAAAAAAAAAAAGGTACAGGAAGACACTTTACATGCAGCTCAAGAGTTCACACTCTTAATCTGGAAGCTAAAAGAAGAAGTCTTTGCAGTCTGGGTTAATAAGGGCACACGCAAAGGGTAAGTGCAGCTGTAGTTCAAAGGAAAGGAAGGACAAAGACTGCAGTTCTCATTCAAGTTAATGCCACTCCAGTCATCAGAAATTTCACTCAAGTGAAAGCTGAATGCTTGAAAGAGTATTTATATCCATTCCAAAAAGAAAGAATTAAAATGTAAAAAATTATTAATACTGGGGGGGGGGAAGCATTCTCTTGGGCTAATCAATCCTTCCTCCTAGAGGTCAGCCTTACTTGGCATTCACTGTCTTTTCTGTGTCAGTGGTTTGGTAATTCTGACATACCCCTGGCTAAAGTCCACCCAAAGGTATTCACGCACGTAGGGAGATAAACCATGACAACTATCAGGATACAATCAGTTCAGAGCAGAGCACAGCTGCTGACCTCCAGCTCCCTGCACTCTAGGAACACCGTGTCCTCTGTAACCTGAACTGGGGCCAAATCATCTCACCTTTCTGAGTGAGCAAAAAAAGTCTGACTCTGCTTTAAATACATTATCACCAGGCCTGTTGTACCTTGAGGCTTCATGGCTTGTGGCAGACTCCCTCCTTTAATACTGAACCTAAACTTTCCCTGCTTTTAACACCTGTGGTATGAAGAAGTCTTTAGTACAGAAGTCTTTTTCCTCAAGGCAGGAAAGGTTCCCTTTCATGGGCACCTCTGGGTGGCTTCCACATGCCACGATGGTTCAGTTCAAGCCCTACAAATGGGTGCACCATTTTCATGCACTAGTTTATTTAACGGTGCAAAACCTGAGGCAAAACAGCTTGGTCCCACACTTCACACAGTGGATAGCAATGCTACTTCCTGCATCTTCTGCTGCCTGTGTAGGAACAGAGGAGAAAATTAATTTTTTTATAGGTATTGGAGCTTTGAAGAGGGCATATTTCCACTGGCCTTATGTGGATGAGACCTACATCAAATCAAAATAAATCAGATATAAAAGCAAAGTGTCCATCAAGTTTCAGCTCCTCCTTATGGAGTATTTTGCATAATTAGTCATCACCTCACATGTCACGGACACATCATTCTAAGCACAGACAACTGAATACAAAACTGTCCTGTATAACCGATGCAAAAGTACTCATGTTGGGGTAACAGTGATAGCTGTATCTCCAGAGACATTATTGTCCCCTGGCTGAAAGTGGTGGCTATAATAGCTGTGCATGCACAGCAGTGAACCCAACCTGTGTCAGGCTGCGCCAGCTGGGTGAGCTTACTGAGTTAAAAACGGTGGGCTGAGTTAACCCATCTGATCTGGCCCAAAGCAGATTAAAGAGCTCTCACTCACACCACACTGATCACAGGGCTGCAGAGGCTGTAAGAAGCTGGCAGCCATGCTCAGCTGGCGCTACCAAATCCAGGACTGGGAGCGTGTGGCCACTTCAGTGTCTGGGAAAACGATGTGGAGAGAATTCCATGCTGCCCTCCCTCAGACTTCCTGCATTT